GTCGCCCCCGGCAGCGGCGGCGGGCGGTGCGCGCGGTGGAGCAGCTGCGGCTGACGAGCGGGTCCCGGTGCCTGGAGTCGCTGTACCAGGGGCTGGCGGGGGTCCTCCCCGTCGAGCTGCTCGGGGTGTTCACCGCGGCGGAGGCGGAGGCGTTGTTCTGCGGGGTGCCGGAGGTGGACGTGGACCTCCTGCAGCGCGCGACCGAGTACGAGGGGGTGCGGCCGACGGACCCCCACGTGGGGTACTTCTGGCAGGCGCTGAGGAGGATGGGCCGCGAGGACCGGTCCTCGTTCGTGAACTTCTGCTCCGGGCGGAGCCGCCTGCCGGGGTCGGCCGCCGAGTTCGCGATGAACTTCAAGCTGACCGCGCCGCACAGGGACTACGACGACCCGGACGAGTACCTGCCGATCGCCCAGACGTGCTTCTTCAGCCTCGCCCTGCCCAAGTACAGCTCCGTGGAGGTGTGCCTCGAGAAGCTGAGGTACGCCATCAAGAACGCCGACCTCATGGACGCGGACTACCTCGTGAGGTCCGCGGACGGCTGGGAGAACCTCCGGTGATGATGATGGTTTTCGTTTTGATCGTGCCGGGGGAGGGCGGTGATGGTGGTGTTCGGGGGGGGGGGCATTTTTGTGTCGTTCGTTTCGGGCTTTTAGTCTCCGCTCCCCAATAAAATATCTATCTTTCATTGAATGTGGGGCAACACTTGGTTGTTTTGAGGGAGAATTTTGCTTGTTGGCGGGTGGGCTGAGGTGGCCATGGGTCCCCCCCGGACGGTGAACGGAGGGTGGGGGTGGACTTGGTTAGGAACAGGAGTGACGAGTGGTGCGTTCGAGGGATGATGGTGGGGGGGGGTTGATTTCAGTGCGTTTGGCGGTGTTTTTGTTGTTGCTGGTGGTGCTGTCGAGGAGAGGCCACCGGCTCAACAAGGAGCGTGCGAGCATGGCCTGGTGTGTCGTGTGTCGTGGCAGCGCCTGGTGTGAGGTAGGTAGGTCTACGGATGGCGTGCCACATCATCATTTCGGAGTGATCGTGATGTTGTAGCGGCCAGGCGCACTTTGTCGTGGAGGATAGGTTTGTTTCCCTTTTTCGTGCAAGTCTCAGTTGATTTCGGATACCACTGGGCGGGGGCAGGGCTGGGGGGGGGGGTGAAGCAAGACCTGCGTTGTATGTTTTTTTAAGTAACGGGTATCTAACTGCTGTGTTGTCTGATGCTGCTAGGGTTGGACACACGTACATACTTTCGTAGTTCAGAGAAGAACGCGTGCTAGCTGCTTTTGGGTGGCGCCGTGTTATTTGTTCGTCGTTTGCTTGTTGGTGTTGTCGTTGTCGCTGTTGTCGAATCGTGTTCCTGTGGGCTTGTTGCACGAGAGGCGCTTGACCGCCGCCTCGAGTGTGCATGCATCCACGCGCACCACAATCCACAACATGTGTTACGGTGTCCGAGACATCGGTTGGTTTCTCTCTGTCATGACGATTGACGATGGTGCTCCGATGTTCGGGGAGCGGGTGCGGTTGACCGCCGTTGTCCAATCCCAGACGTGGAACATCATACCGTGATCCGTCTCCCCAAACAATGTCATATGTGTACCGCTAAGGATAAATTTCGGGGGGGGGGGCGGGGGGGCCTGTGAATGGGGGGGGGGAGGGGGGGCATGTAGCCGGGTGGCGTGGTTTTTTCCTACCTGGTGTTTTGTGTTGTTTTGATGCGTCACTGGTTGGTATTATGATCGTCGCCATCGGGGGGCAACAACAGCTGCGGGGACCTAATTTGATGAAAGCGCGTTCATCCAGCATTTTGTTCTTATGTTCACGAACTGCTGGAGCCAATCTAATCAAGGGCATGTCCCTCTTGATAGTCCAGTCAATGCATCAAGAGCACCAACGAGACCAAATATTTTTCCCCCAGTGCTGCCAATACCCGCTGCACTGAATGAAGATTTAGCTGTCAGTTTGGGAAACTCGACCCAGCGTCGTTGATGTGAGCGACATGTCTAAGCGTATCAACGTTATTCAAGAAGTCTCCCCCTTCCCCTCCCGATGGGCAACATTTTCCCGCAAGGGCGGTCAGCCTTAATTACAAGTCGAATCGAAGGCAGCCTCATTCCTCATGTACAAAAAAAAAGGGTGTCCCTTGACTACTGAACCAAGTCGTCATGAGAGGCATGCGCGACTCGAGCATAAATACGTGTGTCGGGTATCGGGACAAAAACTGAGCAAAACAATGCTGCGAGGAAAGCACTTGAACAACAACAACAACAACGGCAACGGCAACGATCGACGAGACCTGCGCACCCGCGTTCCTCAAAAGACGAGTGCTGCACTATTTAGGAAGGATATACATGAGAATGCCGACGACCCTGCGGACAAAATACAGACACGAACGAGCCCGTGGCGTTGCGATGGGAGCGATCGAACTGTCTTCACAAGCAAGAAAATAGTACCACCGAGTACATCATCAATCATTTTTAAATGCCAGAGCACCTACAATGTTCTTATCACATTTCTCCTGACGTGAAATCACACGCAACATCATACTTGGAGCTCAATGTGTTCCGTGCTGCAGTCCGAACAAATCCTACCGCTAAGTAGCGAAGCCGCCGCCGTTATTTCATAAGACCACAATTACTGCCGCTATTTACCATCTTTACGACGGCCAGCCTAAACGTACTCCCCTCGAACACATGGCAATCATGCAAGTGGGGACACTATGTACATGCAAGAAGGTGTACAATGATGGAAAGCGTGAGACTAGCGCGGCTTTACCGTCTCGTGTCCTTTCGTACAAAGGAAAGGCGCGCCCTTACACTCACACAAAAAACAGAACGCTAAACATGACACAGCAACACAGATTCCATCACCACCACCGGGAAACAAGCAGACAAACAAAAACCTATGCCAACAGCGTCATCTGTCGATAGGCGGCGTGATTTTATCGCCCTGTACACCGCACGGAGGAAGACCTAGCAAATTGACAAAAACATCAGACACATGACGCACGCAAGAAACGCTTACCAAAAAAATCCAAAAACACGCAACACACGATCGAACGAATGCACGAACAGGCAAGATGGATGGAGAGAGCCTCAGCCCTATCCTTTCGCACCTCGTCTTTTCTCACATTTTCTGTCCTGTCTTTGTGTACACGAGCTCCTCCCTCTCCTGTACACACGACAATGGATGGCCCAATGATAACGCTACCATCTGCCTATTGCTTCACAATTGCTCCATATTTACAGCAGTCGCTCGTGTTGCCTCATCAACGAACACACAGACCCGACCAATCGGTCAACTCAACAACATACGACATTCACCACCACCCCCACCACCAAACTCAACCTCAGGATCGACCCTGCAAACCAGTAGGCCCCTCCATGAAGAACCACTCAGCTCCTCATCAGTTCTTAGTAATCCATGAGATAGTCCGAGCTCTCCAACGGCAGCGTGCCCTGCTGGAAGCGCTTCACGGCTATGTCCATTTCCCCCCTTGCCACCGCCAGCGCTTGTAAGCACGCCTGGTCAAGAGAACGAGGAGGGGGTGACGCAAGAAAATGAAGGGGGGAGAGGGGGGGGGTACTCTCATGTTTTGCGTGCCTCAGCGGTTAGACCATTGGCCACGCGTCCTCGAGAGGACGGAGCGTTGTTCGCTCACACAGGACCCAACATCGATGGCCCAGGGTGCGTTCAGTTTCCTGCCATAAGGCTGGATACTTGTCTTTTCCGCGTCGTCGACAGCTCCCGTACGTACGCTGCGATAGCCAAGGCCTCGCCCCGACATGAGTGTTGAGGCACAGGCACCGTTCTGGCCGGCCAGGCAACACAGCGCGGGCACCGCGCTTGGCACTCGAAGGCTGCGCTTGGCACTCACACACACCCTCGTCTACACGGGCGGTTCTGCCCCCCGAACACCAGCTGAGAGCTGTTGTTGCGCTTTTCTCTCACCGGTATGCAGGCCAGGAGAATGTCGTTCATCCGGGGCTCGTTGGTGAAGGACACCCATTTCTGACCGAAAAACAAAACGAACGAATCAGAAAACAGATAAAACAGACAGAAAACGGTGCTATTTTTGGGCGATGCGATCGACAACTGCGGTGTGAGGTGTGTCACACGGTTTGGAAGATGACGCATCGGTTGTGTCATCAAAACTTGGTACAACAACCACCACTACTTTTTTGTGAAGCATGATGGATAAACGTTAATCTGCACATCCAGATGTTATCATCTGCTCTATCTCGTGATCTACTGTAAGCAAATACAGCACCAATAAGTGTCGGTCGGGGTTGGCTGGTGGGGGGGTTAGGTGCAAGACTACTCACACATCCAGATGTCCCCTGGTCTATCCGAACAGTATTGAGAAAGAAAGCACGAACAAGTGTCGATTGGGGAGGCTAGTTGAGACGCACGTACAAGGTATGTGCACTACAACTACTAGTACTACTATAATAGTAGTAAGCAACGGGAAATGCGGGACGCGGTCTTGGGCTTTGACTAGCGGCCGTGATGCCCGTGAGCCTCCCAATCTATACCGCTGCGTTCAAAGGTGTGCGTAGTGAATTACTGCGAGAAAGGCTAACTTACACCAACAACACAGTTTACCGAGTGGCATGCACTTCGAGTTATATAGTACTTCCGAAGCAATAAATGCATACACAGAGAGGGCTAAAACGGCGTGGTGGATTGACGAGGTGAAACTAGCGTAGACGATTATTTTATTTTGCTACATAACGCAGACGATAGACGGGACGTGAAAAGGACACCCAACACGACACGAAATCCAAACCAACCAAGACCAGCGTAGACAATTGATGTCGCGGGCGAAGACGAAAGACCCCCAACGCACCAACGAAGGATAACACCACCACTAACCGCGTAGAGGTAGGTGGCGACGTCCTCCAGTCCCCTCGGGACCTCTCCCGCCTTAGGCTTTGGCGGCACCTTCACCACCACCTCGCCGCTGGTGTCCTCTACTCCGGTCACGTAGGCGTCCATCTTGACCACCATCTCGTCGTAGTCCGAGTACCCAAAGTAGTTCGGGCTTTCCAAACCCAGGTCCTGTTTGTTGTTGTGGTTTGGGTACAGGGAACGGAGGGGTCACTGATTAGGGAACGCAACGTGAGGATCAACCTCCTTCCGCTTCGTTTGTCTTTTCGTATGCCACGTGCTACGCACACTTCAAATCCAAATATCTGGGCAGCCGCAGACTACGCTTTGATGTGTGCCCGGAACATGGCACACGTACAGTGACTGATGTGCGAAGTCGGCTCTGTACATGAGGCACCCCACAGCTGGACCCAAAAAAAACAAGGGCGCGCGTCTATATGGCAAGACAGCCGTGGGGCCTGAATATCTATACAAAGTTTTTTTCTAGTTGGGCGATCTATGAAGGCACAGAGGCCCTTAATTGTGCTAATACATGAGACGAGCCTAATAGTTAATAGCAGAAAGATGAAAAATAAATAAAGGCAACTGCCACGACAACATCGTCGCCGCCACCACCTCTGACATCGCAGAGCCGACGTCCAAACCACGAACACCACAAAGAGCAGTAGCATCAGTACCAGCAACACCCAAACACCACAACAACATGAACGACCACACAAACACGCAATTTCTTGACGATCTTTTCTTTCCTCACCCAGGCGTGCAGCGAGTTGACGATAGTCTTCATCCGTACCCAGTCACACCTCTCCTGACCCGCGGCCGCGAGTGCAATGCACAGTGCCACCGAGATGACCTTGAGACAGCAACAAATTACCCAAGCAGGACAAGGTGGAGAAGTCGTCAGCGTACCATAACGTTGTCTTCAAACGAAAACGCCAAACGTTTCCTATCTAGAAGTGTGATGGAGCGTGCTTGTTAAGTGCACGTAGGAGAGGACGGCTGAACCTTGCATTTGTAGAAAGACGAAGGCTTTCAACTCAAGCGGCAGGCCTCTTCAGGTAGACAGAGAGAGAGACAAGACAGCAGGGGGGGGGTAGAAGCAATGCATGGCAGTTTGGGATGGGACACAAAGATAACTACCTTCCACCATGCAGCAACACATGTATTCACGGCGGGCGATGAACGCTGCGCGCAAAGGGCAGCACCAAGTTCACACGAGACTACCTCGTCCCTCTGCACCTAGACTAATCAAATGCACAACCCGGGTGTCTTCCATCGGGATACACCAAGTATCTCCGGCGTTGTTATCTCCGAGTTCTCTCGACACTTTTTGTCTCGTCTCACCAGTCCTTCGTTATCCAGCAACTCGTATCGATTCGCCGGGTCGATGTACATGAACGTGTCGCAGTTATCCAGGAACTCCTCGGGAGCCTGTCTCCTCCCGACTCCTCTCACCGCCCTACCTTCCCCCCTGCACCAAGTAACGCCATCACATTTGTCATTACTGTGATTGCTGATCATTATTGTTGTTGTCTACACAAGGGGAAATCTTTGTGGCCTCTGCAACCGTGGGCTGACCTACACAGAAAGGGCCAAGATCCCTAAGGCCCCCACCTAACGAAGCATGTCGCTTGCCCTGCAGCTGCATCCCGACACGAAAAAAAAAAAAAGATACATTAAAAGTATCACCCCAACACACAATGTGCGGGCGAGATGTGGTCAAGAGTACAAACACGATGTGTGGGGGGCTTCCTTAATGCACAACTGTATGCATATTGGTATTCTAATATTTTTCGTTTTGGGCATACGACATGCTGCTGTAACCACCACGTCCACGTCTCCCATCTCCCACCTCAGCTTAGCCGCCAACTCGGACAGGGACCCGTCGGCCGACAGCAAGCAGAACTCGTACTTGTTCAACTCTTCCGACCTCGCGAGGGCCAACACTTCCGCCGTCATCGTGTCGTCTCCCAGAGGGTTCGATCCGGGCGGAAGGGGCTCGCGCTGCAGGAGCTTGAAATCGCGAGCCTTGGAGCGGCCGAAGAGTTCGGACCGCCAGTCCTTTGGGACACAGGAAGGGGTGACGGGGGGGGTATGAAATACACCTACATAAACGGTACTTGTATAGGTGTAAGTATGCAACAGGGGGATATAACATTTGCATGTAGGCGGGGGGGTCATGCCTGTGTATTTTGGGGGGGGGGTGTTGAAAGATATGACGGCGAAATATAATGGAGGCAAAAAAATATAAAACTGCCTACAAATGGTGTTGTTCAATTTGTTTTTGAAGGGGGGTCCGCCAGAAGGCACGAGGAGCTTGAGAGGCCGGGGTGATCACGACGTGCGCTTTGCAACAAAGGAGTTGGTTATCGCAGTAGGCGATGTCGGCTGCTGGGGGGGAAATATATGTGCATCACCGCGCCCATCTTCCCCCCCCCCCTCTGTCTGTCTGTCTGTCTGTCTGTCTGTCTGTCTCTCTCTCATTCTGCCAAAACCCCACGCCCCTCCCTCGACCTCCCCTTCCTACCTGAGTCTTGTTCCAATCGGCGTAGATAACGCCGACGTCCCTGGTCCCCAGCTCGTCCAGGATGTCGATGCTCTCCAGCAGCTCGGGAGACGTGATGCTCTCGGCGTCGCAAACGATCAGGAACGCCTTGCCGCCGGTCCTCAACGCCTTCGCCCTCTTGGCGCTCACGTCCCCGTACCTCTGCTTCTTGGCGCCCTCGCCCCTCCGGTTGCGAGCGGTCCTGCGGGTGTAAACTCCCCCCGTCCGTCTACCGGGAGCGGGGGTTCCATTCCGCGGTCTCCGAGCGGCGGCAGGCGCAGCAGCTGCTGCACGAGGAGCCACGGCATCCCCTTTTAGGGCGGCACCGCCGCCGCCGCCGCCACTCTCGGTGGTGGTCATCGGGGTCGCGACGAACGCCGAGCCTGCTGGGTAAGGGTCCACGGCGGCGGCCGCAGCCGCAGCCGGCGACAATCCCTTCCTTTGCGGCGACGACCGAGGCTTCTTCTTATGCTGGCCTGATGGCGCCGCCGTTGCGCGGCGGCCTCCCTTCCGTCTGCCCTTGCTGCCGGCGTCCAGCGGCTCTAAGCGGGCCGGGGCTGCCCTCGTCGCCTCTGCCGCCGCCGCCGCCGCTGCCGCGGAAGCGGCGGCGCTCTTCCTCCGGCGCGATAGCGAAGATGACGGCGGCGGCGCGGTCGCGGTGGTGTCAGCCCGTCCCCGCCGCGTCAGCGCCAGGGGGCAGACCCCGATTCGTGGCGAATCTCCCGTTGTCGTCGTGGAAACCGCTCTATTTGAGGAGCGGCTGGTCCAGGCCCCGCAGGCCGGGCTACGCGCGAGAGGGCGAACCGCCGCCGGCGGTGGCACCGCAAACGCTAGCTCGGAAAACGCAACGGTGGGTTGCCTGGACCGGCGGGGGGTGGCAAGAAACAGCGGGAGGGAAAAAAATCGGAAGGAAGGAGAAGGAAATTACGAAACAACCGAACTAGTGGCACTGCTGCAGTAGTAGCACTGTTGCTGCTGTCGGACCGGTACCAGGTTTTCGTAGAAATAGCAAGCTCTAACCTTTCCCCGAGATTTTGGGGAAAGGGCGGGCTGCTCAGATCAAATGCCGGTGTTGGGGTCGACCGAACAAATGTAGGTGTTCTGAAACCAAGGCAGCTACTCGAAGAATAAGCCAACGTTTTTTCTGATCGGTGTTGCGTCGACAGCCCCGCAGTTGAACACGTTTGGTGACAGCGGTAGTTTGCGTGATGACATGAAATGCCCCAAGGACACGAGACGGAAAATAATAATCCTAGAAAATCGCTCACGTCAACCCACCCATCCGATCGTACGAATCCAAAAGTCGAGCTACAGCAAACCACTACTGAGGCGGTAAGCATGCTCTTGGCAGGCATCGCAGCGAGAACAGGGCCGGGTCGACACGTCATGAACCTCCCTGCTGACCTGTTTTACCCAATTCCACCGCTTTTTGTTTCCCGAGTCCCGAGTCGTTTCCCCCCAAAACAACGGGCGCCCCCCCCGCTGCCTATCTTTCCCCCTCACACCCTCAACTCGCTGGATAACCCAGCCAACAAACCTTGTAGCCCGGGTGAAGAGCAACGTCGAGGCGTGCACGGCCCCGCGGCGTCCCAGTAGGGTGAAAAGCAGAAGCGGCGGAATCAACCGGGGTGCCATTGCGAGACAGAAAGTCCGCGCCCCCTTGCTGCTTGAATTCTGGCAAATGAACTTGGTGCGCGTTGTGAAGGATCTTGGTCCCGTAGATTCCGCCGTGTGGATAAAGAAGAGGGGCGGCTCGTTCGTTCGTCGAGGCCCAGGTGCAACCCTCGTGGTTAGGATACGGCTTGTTGGCTCTGTCTACTCGTTCTCGAATTTGGCGTGGAGCTGCTGCTTTTTTCTTTCTTTCTCTGATCTCCGGAGATCGATGAACTCGACACAGGGTCAACCGCCGTAGAACTGCTTGTCCTGTAATTTTTTCTGATTCCATCATCTGTCCGCTGCCCGCGGTTGGTTGTGCATCCGGCTGCTGGGAGAGCGAAGCCATGGGTAACTCCATGAGGAAGGAGGTGCAAGTCATCCTTGAGGTTGGAAAATTGGCTAGTTAGACATACGAGGGAGTCTTATCTGATTGCGTTCGGCGGGCGGGGGTACGAAACACTCCAGAGTATCCAATCAACCGTTTTAGAGTCACTCGCAACGACGCACACACAGAGGCGCACAGCTCCACGCCGCAGCAGAGACGGCATGTTCCCTCCCGTCTTCGCGTGCATAACCACCGTCAGCAGGTGTGTGACGAACGAGCGCCCCGTTCTTGTGATGGGTCTCGCGCAGACCTTCATATTCCCCCTCTGAGAATTGTACTCATGTAGTCTACCACTCCGTGTATGCATACGCGGAACATGTAAGTACGCACCTTTTGCACGGGGACACGGACGACAGAACCAATAGTGTACTGTACGGCCCACACGGTGTGCACCGCTGGTCGTGTGGCACCCTCCCCAACATCTCGGATAGATCGACGCAGCATGAAGGAGGTGCTGTACTACCACATCAAAAAGCAGTGGGAACATCGAAAAATGGAGTTCTTCCGCTACTTCATACCGCAAACTCCTCGAACAATGAGGACCTGTGGGCGTCGCTCGCAGTGCGAGTCAAGCCCCCCCCCTCCATGAGGACCAGTACCACTAGCGCACAAACTATTACCTCTGTATGTGCTCCACATCTTTGACGGCAGGGGCGGTCGGGGTCAGGAAAGAGCTCGGCGCTGTTCCATCTAAAGCACGGCGAGACCCTGCTGACTCCCACACCGGGGATCGAGGGTTTCTACGTGGAAAGGGCGGTACACGCTGGCACCAGGCTGAACGTGTGGGAGGTGCAGCCGAGCAGCACCATCGTGCGGGAGAAGTCTTTGACGGTGGCGAGAGCTCTCGTCTACGTCATCGACAGCACGGGGGGCTCGGCCGGTATTCAGGATGGTAAGTTGGAAACAAACGTGCAGCTGGGGTTCCACGTTGCCCGAGACTACACTTGATACTCTATAGATTCTGGTGTTTGCTGTCGGTATGCTCGGACGTGTAGTACTCCTATTTACTGCGGTTATTATTGTTTCGGTGCTGTCTTCACGTTGATAATCGTTCGGACCTCTGCTCAGTACCTTCTAGCATCCGCACTAGTCAAACTGACTGTGGTAGGTTCGCGGTTACAAGGGTACCGCACCAAGTAGTACAAAATCGCCGAGGGGAACATCCGAAGGGACCCAGGAAATCAACAAAAACACGAATGGCGTGCAGTATAATACCAGAATAAAATGCAGACCACCGGACTTCGCAGGCTTCGCAGGCTTCGCAGGCTTCGCAGGCAACACCTGCGTGCGCTACATTTGGTGGAGCGCATATATTGCGTCCCTGAAACTGAATATTGGCGTCAAGTGCTTTGGTGTGTTTTTGGTGAAACCGGTTTCGAGTAAATGCGAGTTGCGTCATGACTCGCTTCAACGTGCCATAATATGCGTTCGAAGGTATCACAACAAACGAGCTCCTTTGATCTAGTACGGGATGTGTATCTAACCCTCGTTGTTGTCATGCACCACGCCTTGACTTACGTACATACGACGCCTTCGATTGTAGTAGTTAACCGCCAACCAACACTTCGGCACAAATTCGTTCGGCGGCGTGAAATACGCCAGTCGTTGGGGAAACGCTCGCGCCGAACTCGCGGAAATTTGCGTCCTTTTCTTGCCGCAATAGTGCGGAGTTTCTTCATTCCTGTAGGCAATACTTCCACGTGCAGTACAGTACCACATGCCGGGTATTTTCAACCTTTCGGTAATGGATCTACCACCCACGGCTATCTCGCTAAGAAGCGTATGCGCGGGGTGATGCTGCCTGCGTAGCTGCGTAGTATAACGGCGAAGAGCATGCTGCTGCGGTTGGCCGGACGAATGCATGTAACGTGCTGCGGCAATGCGTTCCTAAACTGTAGCTTCAGTGGGAACCTGCAAAGCAACAAGCGGCAGGACAGCGCCTCCGCATTTTGTTGCGCAAAGGCTATTGGCGACCTCCTTCAACCGAGTTATCTGCCTTCGTCCAGCCGTCGCATCCCCCCCTCCGGTTATCCCGCTACCTCCTGCCCCCAACTTCTACCACCGCTGAGCACCTAACAGTCTCCCCCTCCCCGACTTTTCAACCCCACACCCGTTGTCAACCCCCACAGCGAAAGAGGATTTGTACCCGATATTGACAGCGCTGGCATCACAAAAGCCGCGAACGTGCTTCACGGTGCTGGTTTTGGCGAACAAGCAAGACATTCCGGCGGCTGCATCCCCGGCGACCATTGAGCGGGACTTGGCCATTTCCTCGAGGTGCGGGTCGAGATGTCCCACGCCGTTTGAAAGAGCTGGTCGTGTAAAGACATGCATCCTCGGCATGAGAAGTCTCGTGCCATTCGAAAGAGCTGCCATTTTACGATAGGCAACCTCAGGGTGCTGGTATACCCCGACGCTGAGAATTTTTGTGGGCATTCATGTCTCACGATAAGAGGCATGGGGGATACGTGGTTGGCGCTTGTTTATGGTCTCAACTGGAGAAGCTCGAAACCCCTTCGCCTGAAACTTGTTCTCATGACGTCATTCGAACATCCGTTTTTTCTTCGGCGGGCCCGATGCGTGGTGTTGGCGCCCTTCCTCCTGTTGCCGTTCATGCTTCCTTCCGTGAAACGGTGTGCAGAACTCCGTTAGCCCTTTGTAAGTACACCGTCTGTGGCCTTCCCAAACTATCACGGTGCATATTTTTTATATAACGACCCCTATTAACAACCCTGAACAGACCGGACGGCAGCACGTGGAGATGGGCGGTGCAAAGCTGCTCGGCGAAGGAAGGGCTGGGGCTGAAGGAGGGGATGGACTGGCTGGCTAAGGCCGTTCGAGGAAAGAACGTCTCGCCATCGAGGCCGAAGGGGGGGAGAAGAGGCGGCAGGTCGAGCAAGCTTGAAGGGGCACCGGGGGGAGGGAGGAGAAATAACGGTCTCGTGCCACCTTCAATATATTCAGCTTGATTCAAATTCGAGCGGTTTTCTTTGAACGGCCGAGCTGCTATAATACTGCTCCCCCCGCAGAGAACAAAGAGAAACCTGGTACAGTACAACTTTGAGTCACAATATTTTTTTGAACGAGCTCTGAGGCTCTTATACAGAGCAGAGTAAAAGAGGCCCTGTATATGTATTAAGAATTGTTTACGATATTTATTTACCACACACCGTACAAGTAGCGTGTCCGAATTCCCTTGGCTGTAGGCTTGGGGCGTGTATTGCGTGATTGCACGCAGGCCCTCGTGCCCGCTGGCTTTCGAGACCGAGCTTGGGGTTGTTTTTATACTCAGTTACGTACGTTTTGCTTGGCAGGCAAGAGTCGGCCGTGGAGATTGTGGTAAGCACTTTGGGCAGACATTCCTGCTCCGGAGAGACCTCCTGTTTCCCACGAGAAACCCGCCCGGTAGGCTATTAGTCGCACCGTTACTTTGAGAGGGACGTTTCCGCGCCATGAGACTGAAATTTTGTTTGGTGGCTTAGCGTCCTGATGTCTTGACTGCTGTAGAGAAATACTACAGAAATTGCGAGGAGATGTCCACACCACAGTCCAGGGAAAGTCAAGTCTTCTTCGGGGTGCATGTCACATGCTGGCAGGTCTTGAGTGCCGTGCAACATGCTTTGCGTCTATTACACGCGGTATGATGTGGAAGTTAAACCGTTTTTGTGGGCGATATACGTAGACGCCGCCAAGGCGTGCTCGTCAGAAAAATTACGCCACCCACCGCATATTGATGTTTCGGAATCGATTAGTATTTTTTTTTCTCGCGGACTGAAGGAGTCCTTGTAAGCAGCAAGCAGTCTTGGTGTCGTGGAAGACGAACAGCATGACGTCACCGGCTACGGTACAGGTACGCAAACAATCAAAGCAACGATTACCCTATCTCGCTTGTAGCAACACCAACACGGTGTTCGCCAGCTACCGTTACAAACAAGCTCGTCCAGGGAGGGCATCTCGACTCTTCGTCTCCGTCTCCACCCCGCGACTGACGTCACCACACCACCTCTCTCCGAACCCCCCCCCCCCCACAACGGCGAGCAGCCGCCGCCGCCCGAGCACCGGGACGGGGGCCGACCTGTCGCCCGCGCCCGCGCCGGCGGCGAGACCACCGGAACACACGACGAAGGCGGGACAACACAGGCGCC